CCGGGAAACATCGGGATCAAGGTAGCAATGATGACAGGGATGGCTCTGGTCCTGGAAACAGCTCATTCTGTACATGAAGGTGCACTAGGAGTTGGAACCACCTCGAGGGCACCTAACATCTAGAAAAGGATTCTAGTCCCTCAAGTGCTGGCTCTCAAGTCAGAGCAACGCTCAAGGAAAACACTACCGCCCTGGCCTCATGGTTAACTATAGGGCAATTATTACTGCCTGGAGCTCCTTCTCTGCTGTCTCAGGCATTTATTTGCATATTTTAATTAACTTCATTCTTGAATACATTGGACAGTAGATTGTTGCTGATGCAGCTAGGTTAAAATTTAGCATCCTATCATTTGCTCTCCTTGATCTATTTTAAATTTGTCCTAGTCTTTATCTGTTTTACTTTGTCATTCTTGTTAATTCTTTGTGTTTGTTTTTAATGTTTTCTTTTTGTGCCTGTGCAATCCAGGATCGGTAAATCTATAGAGACAGTAACTGGGGACATGGTTCGGGGGAAACGGGGAGCTAAGAACGATGAGTCCAAGAATGAAGAACATGTTCTAAAACTGATGGTGGTGATGACTGCACCACTCCTCTTGAGGGGAATCTACTACTGAATTATAGGATGCATGAATAATATGCCAATAAAACTGCTGGGGGGGAAGCTGAGTATGCAAATGCCAGCGAATTCCAAGAAATGGATTTAATTAGCTACCATATTATTGTTTCTTGAAGGCAGAAACAAATTAGTCACACCATTTGATTGTAATTTCCTTAAAGATTTAATATAGACTTATAGGAAATAAAATACACAATCTGTTATAAATATCCCATTATTCTATAGCATTATCTCAAGTAAGATGGATCAGTACATGATCACAGCATTAACCAATCTGAGATTTTATAAATTAACCTGATTCGTTAAATGAAAAAGAAATTACACAAACACCATTTTTATTGTTACAAGTAACCAAAATCAGGAATATATTTTATGCTAAAGTTACTTTCTGTCCAGGTCGAAATACTGTTCCACTTTGATTTTTTCGCTTTTTAGGATTTTGAAAGTTTTCGTACCTTAAAGGAAGAGAGAGAAATAATATCTAATACATGTAAATATTTAAACAACAAAAGATAATAGACAGTTTGCAAACAGAATCATAGTTTGAAAACCAAAAAAAGAAAAATAGCAAATCGGAAAAATACTTGCACCAGAAAGTAAAGAGTTCTTACGCAGACATTTTCACGCACCCCATTATTAGAAAGAAGACAAAAGGGAGTTAAGAGGCAAGTTAGGGAAGATAAGATATGAATGGCCATGAAATGATAATGAACTTGTAATCTCATTAGTTTTCATCGAAGAAATGCAAGGTTTTACATGAGGTCTAGCAGTTCTCCAGTCAGACTGGCTGAGTTGAGAGGAATACTGTAAGAGTCAGCGTTGTGAGAGTGGTGAGGCTGGCCCTGGCACACACTGAAGTCCAGATAGCCACTGTGCCGCGTTTCTGAAAGGCTACTGGGCAGTATGTCTCCAAAGCCACCCAGCAATGTGTGCACCAGGTGGTGCAACCATTCCACTTTATCCCAATTCAGCACACGTGCAATCATGCAACTACAGGGACCCTTAGCCTCACACCGTTCACTTTCAGTCATCAAATCCAGGAAGCAACTTAAATATCCCAAAGTTGGCGCCCGTGGAATGGGTAGAGCATGGAGCGACATGGAAACGAAAGACTGGCACGGTGTAAGGAGAGGTGGAGGGGCTGCGATCCGCCCGCACAGTCAAAACATCCCTGCCCTCGAGTCCCATGGACAGAGTCGAGTGCCACTGGGCGGGCATCTTCACCAGGGTGCAAATCTGCATGGGAGCTTCGAAGCAATCTGAACTGCTGCCCTTCCGTCAGCAACCCAGGGCTTCACCCACTCTGCCAGCCGGGCTCCTCCACATGGAAAATGTGTTCTTACTTCAGTAAAAAAAAATTAGCATACACCATGTAGGGCAGTGGGGTTAAGGAAAAAATGTCTATTTTCCTTACTGTTGTTTTCTAATCTTTTTGCATTAAGTGGATACCACTTAAATGTGTACTCACTCCCCAACCCATAATTTTACAAAATTAAATAAGAATTGTGACTTTCAGAGAGCAGGAGTAAACATTTCTTGAATCAAATAAAGCTGAGTCGTTGGCCTAGAAAACTCATGCCATCGAGTGGTGGCTGACTTAAGTGGTCACTCGGTAATGGCCCTCAGGTCCCCAGGCCTTCAAACATGCCCCATGGAACGAATATGTTAGTTAGACATATTTATGAGTTCCTGAGATTAGTAAAATTTAAATTATTTTGAAAGAAAAACAAATATTTTTGTAATCATTCTTGAAAACTATTAACTGGGATCATTTGAGCTCTTCATTTTGTAACTTCCTCAAATTATAACTTGATATTAAGTTAGTAATTCTGAGTTATTCAAATATAATGAAATGGGCTGACTAATGAAAATTCATTTTTTATTTCTGTACTCATGAAAGTAGGTGTTTAAATACATAGCCACTACACAAATTTTCAGAACTGGTTCATAAATATCTAAAGTACCATGTATGGATTTTAGCAAAAACTTTCAGTTTACATGAAGAACTATGAGACCTGTAATAATATCAATACTTCCAAATCGGGATCTGTTACTTACAGCTCAGCAAAATTCTTCCAATCATCCTCACTAATGGACGGCCGTGTGTTACCAAGTGCAGTCATTAAGTGAGACTGGCTAATAGCCAGACTGGCCTTCACTGGTCTTGGTTGGTTAATGGGTTCATCTTCCTTAAATTGCGAGGGGTAGAAACAGAACAAAAGTTAATTTAGGGACAGGGTGGGGGAAAAGCCAGTCTAAAATGTTTCTTCTGTTTGTCAGTGTTTTCAGGAGACTATGCGTTCCTTTTATGCAAGATGACTAAAAATTGCTTTAAAGAAATCAAATATTTGACTATCTCAATATATTATAAACATAGCCCATTTACCAATCAAATGTGTGGTGTATATAAAGAAGGATTTTTCATTTTTAAAATGCTTAAACAATTCTAAATGGGAAAGAAAGTGCCATACGCCACTCAGACTCCGGTATCTGCCCTTGATGATGCTGATCTCTGTCCTCAGCTGCTCTCTGTGCTCTTGTGTCCATTCGGGGTAGCCCTCCTGTGACGCCGCCCTGAACATCGGAGGTTGTGAAAACAATGGTTCTTTCCCAGCAGCTCCAGGAAAATCCTGAGTCATGGAGCTTGGTGCAGACAAACACTGTGAGCTCTGCATGGGCAGC